TTCTATCACCATTTTCAAGATTAAATAAAATGATGTGTATTAAGTTCCCTGCACAGCTCCCAAACAAAGAAGACCCTTGGTATATGGTAATTATTTCAATTATTCACACAATTATGATCTGAGGTGGTAGCATTTACCTTTTATTGGCATGATACTAATCTGTTTCATGATGTTAGAGGGCTCCTTTCAGGAATGAACTAAATAGAAAAGATGGTAAATAAATGCCAAAAAAACAAAACAAAAACCAATCTGTTGGGAACCTTGTAAATGCCTGTTGGGTGTCATTTATTATGGATTATGGTAGGGTTGAAAACTTCAACATATGTGTGGACCCTGTATTAAGTATATCATACTTTTAGAATACACTAAATGCCATTCACTTTTAATAAATATTTGCTATTTAGTACATAAAGCAAATAAAATTTTGTTCAATAAATGATAAATATAGATATATACTTTGGACAAGTTGTCCAAAGAGACCAGGTCCTGGAGAAGGACATCGTGTTTGGTTAAAAAAAGGGGAGGAAACAAGAGAATTGATAGAGTAGTTGTGCCAATGGGCTCAACCTAAGAACAGATGTGCGGAGGGCGTAGGACTCAGGGGCTTCCTTCTGTTGGGCATAGGATTGTGATGAGTCAGAACCAACCCAAGAGCATCTAACAAGAACCAAATATTTTCATAGATATTCTTCATAGTATTATAATAATTAAGACATATCTTCATACTACAGCTTCCAAAATTAATTGAGTGATTTGTATTGTCTTTTATTCATAATACTTAAATCAATGTAATTCTGTCTTCTAAAATCTATACTACATTTGATAAGAGTAGTCCACTATATGTTATTTTCCAGCAATTGCCACAAACAATTCTCAAATACACATCTGAAGAAAATATCTAAAGACTCTGAAACAGTGAAGACTTACAGTTTCAGATACATCCCTTTTTTTAGTTCAACATGTGGTTATGAATAGAACTGCACACCTTTTCCCAACACACAAGCTTTAAATTCTACTATAACTGCTGTAAATCCTACACCAACAATGGCTAAAACCCCGTTCAGGAAATATGGTTTTCTTTGGCAAGTGTTTGTGTGTAGTATGTCTTAAATCAACCTCTCTGAGATATAAAAAGCAGATTAAGCAAGTAGCAAGTAAGTAGAGACGGGGGAAGAAAAAAGCTACACCATAAGAGGGTCTCTACGAACCAAGGAGTAGAAGCTAAAATGACAGAAGGATCGTCCTCCAGAACCAACAGTGAGAGAAAGCAAGCCAACTCTCAGAATTGCTTGCAGCCTCAGACAGTAAGAACTCGGAGAGGAACATCGGTTTCTTTTACAAAATCTAGAGGAAAAAGATCTCTGGGTAACAAAGAATATGGGGTGGAAACTGTAACAACTGCACCAATGCCTAGATTCCGTCTATGTATTATTCTGTTTTACTCTCACTCTACTTTCTGCCTCTCGGCAAAAGAGGAAACAGTTACATGAAAGTACCAACAGTGAAAGGAGTGAAAACACACACACACACACACACACACACACACACACACACACACACATATATATATATATTTTTCAGACAAAAGATACCAGGAAAAGAGACTCCTAAGGTCCAAAGAGTGGGAACAAAGAAGTTTCCCTGAATTTATGTATAAAGTGACCGTGAATCACATGTGAATGGAAAACATCCCTTTTGCATATCAAATGTTTGGAGAACTAATCCACAGGATAAAATACTGGCTCCCCATAGAAGGTAAGCGAGGACTTAAAGTCTTAACCAAGCTGGTTGAATGCTAAGACAAAACAAAATCATCAAGTCAACATCCCCCATATGATTTTAACAACCAAAATATTTGGAGAATATGAAAAATATTCCTTTTTCTAAAGGAAAATATAATTTCAGCTATTAGCATTATGCTTATTAGTTTACGATAAACTTTTTGAAATGAATAGGAAATACACATTCTCATCAGATAAATGAGATTTATAAATAGGACACAACTGAGGATATTACCAAAGTAACAGAAAACCAAAACAAAACAATATTTAGATAATTATGGGTATATAGTATGGAATAACAAGAATAATTTTTAATTTGTATATGACTAATAACAGAGATTCATAATATAAGGAAAGTTGTGATAGAATTAAATGGAAAAATTGATATACAACTATGGCTGGATATCCAACACTCCTTTTGCACTAGCTAATATAACATACATCGATTATGAAAAAGTCTATAGAAAAATCTGAATAACTCTATTAAACCATTTGGCTTAATTAATATTAAAAGATCACATGACCCAATAATAGCAGATTATAAATTCTACTGAAATACACATGAAACATCTATGAAGGTTGTCAATATCCTTGGCTGTAAAGCAAACCTAAAAAAATTTAAAGGAATTGAAATCATACAATGTATACTTGGCAGGGAAGATACCATGGTTGCAAAGATGGTTTTCCCAGGGCGAGGCTTATCCATTGCACTCCAGATGTGCTGACCCCTGCGATTTCCCCAAATGTGGGAAACTCGACTGCATAATATGTGGTAGTGGTGGACTGTGTTTGTGCTCTCCCCTGTAAAAAAAAAAAGAAAGAAATCATACAATGTATGTATGATTTCAGTATACAATACAATATAATATAAAAATAACTGGATACTTGATCCCCTCCCCACCATTTAGGGGAAAATAAACAACATACCTCTAAATAATCAGTAAGTAAAGATTAAGCCAATAGTTAAAAACAGAAGATATTTTGAAAGGACAACATATAAAAATTAGTGGTATGAAAATAAATCTATAATTAACTGCTCATATTACAAATTAAGAAATATATCAAATAAATGAAGAATCTAGGAGAGGTGGGGAAAGGGAAATGTTCCTTAACAATATAATATAAGAACAACAGTAATAACAAAAAAAGAGCCACAATAAATATAAGCGCTGTAGTCAAGAAAATTGGGAACCAAAAGAAAATAGGAAAAAAAATCAATGAAACCCCAAACTGTTGTGTTGGATCTATAATACTAATAAACTTCTAACCAGAGTGAGCAAAGAACCAAGAGAAGACACAAATTGCCAATAACAGAAACGTGAGAGGAAATGTCATGACAAACCCAATGGGCAGCGTGAGGATAATAAGGAAATACTGCAACAACTGGTAACACATAAATGCCACAATATAGACAAAATGTACCAATTCCTTGAAAGCCATAAACTGCCAACATTCACTCAAACAAGTTAGCCAAAGTCAAACCCGTATCAATTAAAGCAATAAATGTGTAGTTTTAATTCTCCAAGTTAAATACAGAGAAATTAGGGCAAACATTTAATGAAAAATGACACCAACCCTATACTGCATCTTTCAGAAAATGAGAAAAGAGTGCATACTTCTCAACTCATTGAATAAGGTAAGAGTTATACTGATATAAAACAAGACTTATGAACATAGCCTCCCCCCAAAACACTTGTAAATCAGTAAAATATTACCAAATTAGGTTTTACAATATAAAAAGATATATTACATTCACATGTGTTTACCCCATTTGTAAAGTGCTTTAAACATTTGAAAATCAGTCAATACAATTCACCATATTAAGGCTCTAAATTAAAATAGCTATATATAATGATGTAGTCATGTCAAAATGATCATTGAAGTCATTTGACTTAACAAACTTAACATTTGTTTTTCTTTTTAAAAAAGAGTGGAAAGAAAATACAATCTAAAACAACTTAGCAAGCTGGGAAGGAGCACTTTAATTCCTGATAAAGCCTACCAATGATAAATATAGATTGAACAGGTTGTTCAATGGTAAATGACTGAATCATCGCCAAGGAACGGAAACAAGTAAATCTTGGGTCCTGTTACTATTCTTAATGGCCATTTATACGATTTTTTACGTATGGTTTCAGAATACTGTCAAAATAGCAATATTAAAAGGAGGCAAGGCTGTGAGGGTTGTTACCCAAATCGACGGTCACCATGTCGGTTCCACTTCACAGCAATTCTACATAGGGTTTCTGAGACTGTAACTCTTTATGGGAGCAAACACCCCGTTTCTACTGTGAATTTGAACTGCCTCACAGATTTGAAGCATTGGCTCTATGGCTAACAATCTAATGTCTCTCCCACACAACATCAAGGCTGCTGCTGACAGGAATCATTTAGTCATTTCAGATTCATAGCCACACAATGTATCTGAATGAAACACTGCTTATTCCTATACTATGCTCAAACATCCTAAGTTCGAGTCCACTGTTGCAACACTGTGTCAATCCATCCTATTGGTGTTTTTGTTACTATGAGTTCTCTGTTGCTGTTCGGTGCCATCCAGTCATTTCTGACTCATAGTGGCCCTGTGAGGAACAAAATGAAACACTGCTTGCTGATTATTCTTAGGTTTGAGCCCAATGATATAGCCACTGTGTCATCCAACTGGTTGATCTTGCTTGTTTGTTTGTTTTTAAAACTCTACCTTCTCCAGGGGTTGGTCTCTGCTGACAACGTGCCCGAAGTATGTGGGAGAAAGTCTCACCATCCTTGTCCTAAGGGGAATTCTGGCTGCACATTCTCCAAGACAGATTTTTTTTGTTCTTTTGGCAGTCCACAGTATTATTCACCAGCTCTGTAATTCAAATGTAGCAATTCATTTTTTGGTCTTCTTTATCCTCTATCCAACTTTCATATGCATATGAGGTGATTGAAAATACCACGGCTTGGGTCAGATGAACCTTAATTCATCATACTAACTTCCTTGCTTTTCAACACTCTAAAATGCAGCAGTTTTACCCAATGCAAATAATTTGGTCTCCTGCTCACTTCCTCCATGTGCATTGATTCTGGATCCAAGAAAAAAGAAATGTGGTCTCTAAAAGGAGTGAAAGGCAGATTAAAAAAACAAAACAAAACCAAAAAACCCCACATATTCAGGAATGAGTTTGGGGCTCACATTAAATCCTAACTCCAATTTAAGAACAGTTTCTTCTTAGAACATAGCCCTGTCTGATACTTGCCCTCAGGAAGGGAACACAGAACATATTGCTATAGTAAAACGAGGTACAGAAATTAGATGATGCCTATCAGATCAAAGAGTGTCTGGGGTCTTACAGCTTTGTTTCCAAACACCAGCCATCTAAGTGAGATGTCAAGTAAGTCCACATCGAAGGAGCACATCAACGTCTGTAACCAAAGGATTGTAAATCATGTAATCTGAAGCCAAAGGTGGGAATAGTATCAAAGCCTAAACAGTGAGATTCTGGTTTGCAGAAGGCTATGGATTACATTGTAAGCCCAAAATACATTTGTGAGATCTACACAGGAAATAAGTCTCTGGTGATTTCCGTCTATAGAGGGACAGTAAGAAACCAGTTATCAAATAGAGTACATTGGAGAAATGACTATAGGAGATCAAAATAATAAATCTGACTTCAATGGTTAAAAACTGATCTCTCTCTCTTATATATATATATGTTGGGTCTAATATGGTTTTCAATATTGTATGTGTTTTTGTTTTGTTTTGTTTTCATATTGAGGTTTATTTCAGATTTGTTTTGGTATTGGGGGCATCTCTCTTGACTTTTCATTGTATTTCTTTTAGTATATAAAATTTAGTTTAGTATATGAAACCCAGAATTGATGAGCATATAGAGCAGTGGTTCTCAACCTTCCTGATGCCATGGCTCTTTAATACAGCACTTCATGTTGTGGTGACCCCCCCATCCATAAACTATTTTTGTTGCTACTTCGTAACTGTAATTTTGCTACTGTTATGAATTGGGTGACCTCCATGAAAGGGTCATTCAACTCCCAAATAGATCAGAGGTAGAGAACCACTGAACTAGAGACAGCAAGTAGAATAAGGGCTTCTGGGTAGTAGAGTGAGGCAGGAGGTCAAAGGGGCGCTGATATCAAGGAGTCCAAGCAGGAAGAGAATGTTTTGAAACTGATTGTGATAGCAATTGTACAGTACTGCTTGAAGTGATTGAACTATGGAAGATAGGATATCTGTATTAGCTACCCACAAAATGGTTTTGGAAAATATAAAATAAATCACAATTTTTAAAAAAGGAGAAATCTAGAGCATTGGGTTCTCTAGAGAAGCAAAATCAGTCATGTCTCCTTCAGTATCGGTGGCAGTTACATAATCTCTTGTCAACTTGAGGATATGAAGCATGAAAGGGTTGAGTCCAGCCTGTCCATCAGATCAGATCTGATGATGGCTCCTTGTGGGTGTGGGCTTCTCGTGAGGATTCTGGGAACTTCCTCTCTTTCTCTAAGGAGGTGGCCCACACTCTCCCTCTGTTTACACATTTCTGTTGATAAGCCTCCTGGAGCCACACTGATGTCAGCCCGAGATGCTTCCACTGCCACTGGATCCACAAGACTGTTCACCCACTGGCCTAAGTTCTTCCTGCATTTGGCATTATTGTGATTGACTACAATAGTCTGAAGAGGAATTGATGGACTTGTGGGATAATAGCAGACTTGTGGACTTGATTTGGACTGGCTGCGATGTTTCCTCAAAAACACAATAATTCTTTGGTATAAAGTTCTCTCTTATAAACAGAGGAGTGTCTCTGCATTTGCTTCTCTAGTCAACCCAGACTAACACAATATATATATCCAGAAAATGGCTCACACAATTGAAGAAGTGGGTGAGGCCATTCCAGTAAATGTTCATAGTTCAGATGTTAAGCTGGAGACGTTATCTCAATCTGATAGCTGTGGTGGGCTGATAAAAAGGAAGCAGGAAGAATAAACAGAAAGCTTGAAGACCAACAGGAAGACTACATACTGTTGAATGCCTAGGCAGATAAAAACAAAATCCTCATGTCAAGCCTGAGCCTGTAGAGTCCAATGAAGCCAAAGTTGGTAGGTCCAATGACCACCAGTTCCATGACATTGGGGTAGCAGTCATCTGCTTCTTCTCAAAGAAGGGTGTTTCAGCTGTGAGTCCAAAGGAGTGTGTTAGTTCCTGAAATCTGCTACAAGGGAGTTTGAGATAAACCTTTCTCCTGCTGGGGTTTCCACATTGAATAGCTCTTGTGTGACTTATGAAGGATAGCATGTGCCTAGAAAGAACAGAGCCATAAAAATGGGAGGTTTCTCAACCAGGTTTACCCACCTTCTCCAAGACATACATGCTCCCTCCCCTCATCTCAACTTGACTTTCCAGTAAGATTAGCTTATCACTCTTGTGTCTGATGATTCATGGTGACCTTAGCACAATATTTTATGGCAGTGTTCTCCCTCCCTGCCCATCTTGAACAACTGACCCCAGCTGTGGTCTCCTCTGTCAAGGTGTTAAGATGTACATATAAAAGGGGTGTTATATGGTTCATAGCCATTAGGTACGTCTCTACCTTGTTGCTTGGGAGACTGGATTAGAAGATTACATGACCTGAGGGCAAAAAGTCTGCCTTCTTTGGGTGTTTATCCTCATAGTAATGGATATACAATATTTGTCCTTTTGTGATTGAATACCCATGCATTCGTTATCTGTGGTTCCTTGAAGTTCCTGAATTCTGGGCATTAAGTCAGAGGTATTTCAAATACTACTAGAGTTACAAATGGTGGGA